CGCCTCGACGAGAGGATTCTAGTGGTACCCTCGAATTTTTCATAGCCCTCCCGGATCGTCAGGAAAACGCATTTGAATGCTCGATTTTGACCGATTTTTCTCTAGATCTGGGACTTTTGACCACGAAATTGAAGGTCTTCCCGAATGAATTTTTGCATGAGATTTTAAGGGTAGCTTCACCTTGACGAGATCTATCCGATGATGCCAACCATTTTCCGATCGGAGCATGTTTTCTGACGGCCGGCGGCGGAGGTGGCGGCCGGCGGTGGCGGAGAAGGAGGTTTTCGAAAATTTTTAGTCGGAACTCCGCTTGACTTTTTGTCGGGTCCCCACAGACGACGCCAATGAAGTGAATAAGTTTCACCCGGGCTCCTTCAACTCGAACCGGCCTCCGTACCTGCAGAACCCAACGCCGGGGGTGGCCCCGGCGTCGGGCCTCCGATGCTTAAGTTAGTGCTCAACTCAAGAGAGAGAAAGTGTAGTAATGTCATGAATAGAGAATGAGAGAATGAGGTACCTTGGCCCCCTTTTATAGGGGGAGTGTACCTTTTGGGCCCCAGTTGGGCCTGACCCCTATCGTTGGGCTTAGATGTCTTAGTGGGCTTATCTTCCAATATGTATCCGCTTTATCCGTTAAACTGAGTCCAATATAATATCCTATATCACTAATCAATCTCGAATCCCATAAGAAAAAAAAATTGCAGAAATCGAAAGAGAATAAGAACTTACACATGATGATCTTGAGAATTCCTGAAGAACTTCAGAGGAATCACCAGAAAAATAGCAAGAATGGATTGCCAGAAAATTTGAGAGAGAGAATTTGCGAAGAGAGATTCAGATGAAGGAAAAAAAAGTACTTATAGGGGAAGCCATGAGCTATTGGCCCTTGGATTAGGAGCAATTCAACGATGCAGGATAGATGTGCGGAAGTCGAAGCGGCGAAATATGAAACGACACGTTAATTAAAAATTCAAAATTTGAAATTCAAAACTCAATGTTAGAATGTTTCAGAAACACTCAACTGTCAAGTCCTACTCCTAAACTTAGGGTCGTACCAAGTGTGGACAGCTTGACCGGGTCGCAAGTCGAATTGTCAACATCACGATGTGAGTGGAATACAACAGCTAGAATTAGCAAGTACGAGGTACATTTAGCCTCCAAATTTACTCTTAAGCTCGAGGTCTCTTAGAGTAATTTTGGTGAGGGCTAGATGATATAGCCATACTCGGATAGACCGACTACAGCAGCTCAACCGGGTCTTAAGTCGAGTCCCCCACAAGTCAACCGGAGTAAGACATAGCAACCCGAGTCGAGCCATCTGCATGACGACATATAAGGTAGCAACTCGAGGATATCAAGTCGTACTCATGGAAACGGCTCACAAGAGGTCTAATCTCAGGACTTGATTCTAGTGGAGGACAAATGGATCAGTGACAGTTCCCCTCACCATTGGGCGCATCTCGAGGTCGGCCTCAACCCTTCTAGAACTTGAGATCGACCTCCTTAATTATCTGTATCTCGAGATCGACTTCCTCTACCTCTATGACAGCTCTTAGTCGGCATCACATACCTCGAAGCCGACTTCGTTAATTGTATAACTCGAGGTTGGCCTCATCATTTTAGCTCGAGGTCGACGTACCGTTTAAAGAAGATAAGAACGACTCAAGGGAAAGTGGTAAAACCTCTTGAAATTTATTTCACCTATACGCTAACCCCAAGTTGACCTCTTGTTGCCCGAGATCGACTCCATATACCTCGCGATGTACAATGACATGTTATTTTAGATACTCAATGGGCTTAACAGGTTAGGATGAATCTCTAAAAAATAAGATGGAATCTTAAGCTGACTTAGATCTGACTAAGAAAGATTAGACTATGGACAAAACTGGGCCACCAGGCCGGTCGACCCAGGGGATTTTGGGCAGATATTTTTTCCTATAAAAGGGGCTGAGGTAACACCAAATATCAACTTTTACATACTATGCACATTTCTTATGTTGCTGCTATCTTTACAGAGCACTTCCATCTCTTCTTGATATTGACTTAAGCATCGGAGACTCTATGCCGGAAACCCCTCCGGCGTTGAGTTCTTGCAGGTGTTCGTGGCTATCTAGAGGCGGTTCAGACAGATCGGAGCTCATCTCAGCCAGTTTACTCCAGATAAAGAGGAGACCCATCAATATG